TTAAAAAATAAATAAATAAATAAATAAAAAAAAAGAAAGAAAGAAATACAGTAAAATGACTTCACTAAGGGCCAAAAAAGGAAGCAATAATTGCAACCTTTAAGTCACTATTATTGAGATTTTCTTTATGAGAAGTATGTTGCCTAGCCTCATTATTCAAATCTAATTTATGCTTATCTTTTACTTTTTTATTTTTAATCTTGAAAGCCAAAGGCCTTGATAATTATCTAAGGCTGTAGCATCCAAGAATTTATTGGCAACAGAGTTTTACGTCTTATCTTTCGTTTTTTAATTCAGTAATGAGGAAAATACTCCATATGCATTAGAAACATCTACTGAGAGAGCCATAAATCTTTCTAGACCAGCATGTTAAGGTTTAATTAAATGCTAAATAGCAAGTGCTGCTAAGTAGATGCCACCTGCATCCCCTGTGCATCTGCAGAATGGGTATTGGTGGGAGGGGACATAACAGTGTCAGTTGGGAGCATCTGAAGTCTGTGGGCCCCTCTGCTGGTTATGAGTCCCCGCAGAAATGTGTGAGGCCATCTTCTCTTTGACACCCAGGTCAAATTTAGCTCTTTTGCTACTGTAGGGAACATAGTTTATACTACTCATCTGTCCAAGGAGATTTTAAGCTGCTTACATGTGTTTTCATTCATTGGCCAGTGATCTTTGTACTGTGGGAGTTGACTTTTATTGTCTTAGAAATAAGTAGCTGAGACCAGGAGATTTGGAGTGGTCATGCTATCTTCATGCTACTGGCCTTTTGTGCAAGGTGTACTGCTCAGGCCGCCCCAGCTTGTTCTCACAGGGTTCTGCTTTCTTTCCCAGGTGACCTTGTACCCAGCTGTGAAAGACTTGCTGCAGGAGGGTGTTTATCTCATCCTGGACCTGTGCACAGAGTCTGACATCCAGTTCCTACGGGCCTCACTGCAGCCCGGAGCTAGAGATGTCTTTAAGGAGCTGCACAGCAACTACCTCAAGTATCACAAGGCTAAGCAGGAAGGAGAGAGAAGATATACTGCCTAGCTGGGCTGTAGGAGCATTGCCAGTGAGGAGCTGCACAGTCTACCCAACATACCACAAGGCTGAGCAAGATGAGAGGGAAGACACTGCCTCGCCAGCCTGTAGAAACATTGCAGGGCCTCTTTGCTTAGCGTTGCAGTCTGAGAGCCTTGGGGGGAGAAGATGTAATATGCTGTGAGGCACAGAGCTGACTTGCGGAAAACCCTTTGGGGCTTATATATTTTTATAGCTTGTTTTCTAATGTATCTTTTTTATAATCACTTTTTTATGGTGCTAGGGATTGAGCCAAGGACCTTGTGCCTACTAAGCATATGCTTTAGCACTTGAGCTACACGCCTAGCCCTGGTATATCTTTTTTTTTGTAATTATGTATTAGAATTCTGAAACTGGGGCCTGGAAGGAGACCTACTGGCTCTTGTAACCTTGCCCTGTGGAACTCTTGGCCTGGATCAGGGGGTTGGTGTCCCCCTCTCCTGGCCATGAATGATGTAGCGCTTGGCATTTTGTTTTCAGTCTACAGTTAAAATCTATTTAAATACCTCTGACCTTTAAATTCTCAACATGGGAGGCCTTCTCAAGATGCCGCTTTTTTCCTTTACTCTGAGATCCTTTCATGGCACTGGGACAGCGTGCTGGCTGCAGATCAGCCTGATCCTCTGGGCTGGTGGACACTCCTCGCAGTGGTGCTTGTGCTCCTGCCTGCTCTTCCTGCTTCAGTCTGTGAAGCTTATTTTGGAGTTTTTTCTCTTTGATTTAAGAGATTTTAATTATTCTTATTACCTAGACAATGTATTTTTATCATAGCAACCTGAGAAAATTAAGAGGGAAAATTTCAAAAACTACTCATGTTGCCCCCTTTTCAGACAACCTTTGCTGTCACTTGGAGTGTCTTGTTTTGGATGATTTGCTGTGCAGGCATGTTGATGTACGTTAGTGTGTGCACATGTAATGAGCTGAATTGATGGAGATAATTTTTAAAGTTATCTTACATTTTCCTGTGTAATACGGCACATCAGTAATAACTTTGGGTCAATAAATGTACTTAGTGTATATTTTTAATGTTGTGCAGTAGTCCTCTGAGTACCATAGCTGTTTGATTTACTGAGTACGTCATGGTTAGAGATTGGGATCTTCCCCAATTCCTTTTTGTATCTGGTGTCTGTAGCTAAATTGTTTCCCTAAAATTAATTCCTATGAATTACAGTTTGTCAGAAAACTGAATCTGTTTTAATAACTTAATATAAATACAGCCAATTGCTCTCTAGAAAGTGCACTAATTTATTTTCCGACTGATGAATCTACTTCAACATTATTGATTTTTGTTTCCTTGATAGAAGAGAGATGCCATTTTGTTCTGAATTTCTTTAATTTTGCTAAGTGATTATGCATTTTTACACTCACCATTTTATTATGTAAATTACATAATTGTCTATTTCTTACTTGAGATGTTTGCTTTTTCACACTTACTGTCTGAGATTTATATTGAAGTTCTTGATGTCCCTTTTTCATTCAGTATAAGAACTTTTACTCATTTTTTCATTAGTACATGTTTGCAGTGCATAAGGATCACATTCATCATGGGGGATTTGTACATGGACATAACATATCTTAATTCTTTTTTTGTCCCCTTTCCCTTCCCTTCCTTCAGCCCTTCTTCCCCTCCCATGAAGACTAAGAATAAAATTTTTCTTAGCCCTGTGGTTTAGACCCAAGGCCTCACACACATATAAGTTAGGCAAGCTCTGTACCACTGAGAGGCACCCAATCCCTGTACATTTTTTTAATGATTGGGAAAATGCTTAAGCCCTCCAGTGTCTTTTCCATTTAATTGTAGTTGGGGCAGACAATGTATGATGGATCTTTTGACTACCTGAGGCAAATAGCCCATATACCACAGTTGGATTTTATTTCCTGTACTGGCTGACTGCAGAGAAAACAGTCCTGCTTTGTCTACAGGAAACTTGTCCTTCATTCCTCTGGTATGTATAGCTCTAGGAGTCGGGGATGGATCCAGGTGAGCTAGTGTCCTGCTTCTTGCCCTGCATGATACTGAATTCCTTGTGTGAACATCTCAGAGCTGGTGGAGATTGCCTCTTGTACCCTTAGAGATGGTGTGTTGGGGCAACCTTTCAAGGACATAAGCCTTAACAAAAGCAACTACATCTGATCTGCTTGAGGCCAGACCTTAGTGGAAAGGCTGTCTTGGAGGCCCCTAGGCCTAAAGCTTGGTCATCCTGCTCCTGTTTGGAATGTGGATGCGAGCTACAGATGTGCAGTTCCTTGGGCGTCCTGTCAGTGGCGGTGTAGGGCTACAGACATGTTGGGCACAGCAGATGAACTGGGCTTTGGAGGTCTCGTGGTCTCTGTCTGCCCAGTACAGACTGCTATAGAGTTCTATTCTGGCAGCTGTCAGCTCCTCACAGTCACTTCCACATGAACTCATCCTTTCTTGGTAGAGAGGAAATAGACTTCTAGAAGGCACTGAGGTGTGATGGGCTCATTCCTGTTCTGTTAGAGGAGACCCAGGATGGAAGGCAAGCCAGGCCTTCCAAGGGACTGCAGATGTGTGGCTCCAAACCTCTTAGCACTTATAACCCCATCCCACATCATGAGGCTGGGAGTGGAGACACAGCTCTGGTCCTTGTGTAGCCTTGACAAAGGCCAGTAACACACAGGCAAGAGCCTCGGGGGGTTTATAGAGGTGGAAGCACAGCAGGTACGTGTAGCCCAGACTCGCCAACCTTAATGCCTGTGCTAGAGTCACTTGTCCAGGCCAGGAATGGGTGTGTGTGGGGGGGGGGCGGGGGGCGGTTATTGGAAATCAAGAAGGCCTCGCATGGGGGACCTGTTTGTAAGTGTCCTCTGTGGCTGCCACCCTGAGCAGTCTACAGAGCAGTGCACGAGGGACACTAGGAGGGTAGGTAGCAGCCAGACCTCCATGCCTGGCCCTCACCACTCTCCTGGCTGGGGGATCACTCCTAAGCCTCCCCTGCAGCTGCTTGACCCATCTCGGCACCTTTATCATCAACCCCCGCCCCCATTCTTAGGTACCTACAAAAACTGCCTGATGCCAAGAACCAAGGTGAAAACTCCAGGAGAAAGAGGTGCCCTGTCCTTCCTCATCTGTGTGTTCTCTGGGGCTGCCATGTCCCCAGTGCCTGCACTAGCATCCGGGGTCTGACACTCCTTTTTTTCTTACTTCATTTAGATCTGGGTCCCCTGACTATCCTCCTCCCTACTTTAGGGGCCACCTCTTGCTGGGGAAAGAAAGCCTCGGAAAGCCATTCTTAATTGTCCTCTCCCCTCCGCAGGGCGGCCCATCAGAAACCTCTCTGCATTGCACAGTGATTGGGTTATCACGGTAAATTTAGTGTGAAGTTTGGTTGGTTGTGGAATAAATGTGTGTGTGTGTGTTTGTTTATTTGTTGTACAGGGGATTAAACCCAGTGCCTTGCACTTGCCAGGCAGGTGCTTATGCCACTGAGCTGTACCCCCCAGCAGAATAAATATTACGGGTTGGGACAGTTGTATAAAATGCTCCATAGTGAGTGCAGCCGATGTGGGTGGGGAATGATTCAGGGCTGTGGCTTAGCAGAAATGGGGACACACCCACAACAGGCAGTGGGCCATGGGGAGTACTCCCTGTGCCTTTGTGTTCTCCTGGAAGACTGGCTATTTCCAGGACTGATGCCATTCTTCTGTGGATGCATGGGGTGCCATGGCTTCCTGTACCTGGCAATCTTTGCCTCTTTATGTAGTTTGCCTTGGCGTCTCTTCTGAGCCCCTGAGATTTATTGCAAGTGTTAGGCTGGCAGTCTCTAGTCCAGCCACAGCCAGCTTCTCCCATCACTTTCCCTCCCGTTTATAGCTTCAACCATTCACACTTGATTATTACCTTCCTGGTTGCAGGGTCCCAGAGCGGCTGCTAGCTGCGTGAAGGAGCAGCCCAGTCTTACTGCATACTCACTGCTCTGCTCCCCTCAGTGCTGCTGCTGACCTCATCCCCACCATGTCGGGCTGTGTGGCAGGTCCCTGGGCATCTCCGGTGTGCTGGGCCTCCCTGAGCTTCTGCTATCTTCTAGGGTCCCCATGCTCTTCCTTACCTGCACTGGCTCCTTTTCCCCTCCCTGTCCCTAAATTTGGGTGCTTTGAGCTTCGCCCAACATCTCCCCTCCACCCCTTCCCATCCCTGAGGTCCCTGGTCACTTCTGGGCAAGTTGCAGATTTCTATTTTCTGTCCATTGAGTTGCCTTGCCATGAGCAAGTTGAGAACTGGAGGTTGTGGCCTCAACCTGGTCTCTGGGTGGGCCATTCTCTCTGTCCACTGTCCAGTCTCTCTTATAGCCCTTCTGCTCTCGTTGCTTCTGGTCCTCTGCCTAATATGCTGGCCATGGTACCTGCAAAGACTCCCTCCTAAAGACAAAGAGATTTACCTATGTATGTGAGCAGGATGGTTTGGACAAAGGCACTGTGCATTTCTGCTGGTCTATGGAAAGAAGCAGTTAATGCTTAATTTGTTTCATCTGTTTTCAATCGTTTGTAATTTTTCTCTTCATAGTTTCTTATATATTTGTTTCTTCGTATAATGCATATATCTGGTGGTATGTGATTCCTTTTTTTTGGGTGGAACTGGGGATTGAATTCAGGCCCTTGCACTTGCCAGGCAAGCACTTATTCTACTGAGCTATCTTCCCAGCCCCTATCTGGTAATATAAATAACTGATTGGATGACACTATACAACAAATACTGTGAAATTCATATTGCTTTGTGTAAGTGAAATTCTTTATCATTTGTAATTTTTTTGTTTTAATTCTAATTTGTATTCTCTTTTAAAATAAAAAAGTTTAAAACATGAAAAAAAAAAAAAAAAAAAAAGACAAATGGGCCACCAGAAATCCTTGGCTGGCGACAGCCACGCATGTCTCCCCCCGACTGTTCTGCCCACTGTTGCTCAAGGAAGGTGCTGTCCACCTGGCCATGCTGATCCGCCAGACCTGCTGCCACCTTCACAGTGATGAATGCTCTGATCTGACCATGACAATCAGCCTATCAGTTGACCTTGATAGCAGGGCTCAAGGCAGTGTTTACTCCAACACAATCCAACACAGGGACAGGACAAGGATCCATCTGTCTCCCCATAGGGAATCTGTCTGTCTGGGCTCTATAGGATTAAACACTGCATTCAGTGCGTGTTCTTGGGGCCTTTGTTCAGGGCACTGGGTGGTGTAGTCCAGCATGTAAAAGCTGCAGGTTCCCAGGCTACAGGAACCCAGGGACTGCAACCCTCACCTGGAGTGAGGACAGCACTATCTCCCAAGTTGTTCTTTTGCCACAGATTTTTCAACAGTGAGCCACCTTTATAAAGTCTGATCCAGAGTACCAGCTTTTGGAATACACATAAACCAAGTGACCACACTGAAGCAGATAGAAGCCCAGAACCCACCTCGTGTGTCTCTCTGCTCTCAGCTGTCTGAGGTCCCCCTTTTTCTCAGATATGGACTAGAAATGCATCAAAAGTTGTAGTCTCCCTGCCTTTACCCCCACCAATACTCTGTTTGCATTTTCCTTAGTATTTAGGTGTTCAATTTACTATGTATCTGTCCTAATCTGTTTTGTGTTCCTTAGAATATCATGAACTGGGTAATTTATGGAGAACAGAAATTCATTTCTCATCATTCTGGAGCCTAGCAATGCAAGATCTTGGTGCTACATGAGGCTTTCCCATTGTGACATCCCTTGCAGGAGGCGAAGGACACGAGGAGATCAAACTCATGTTGTTATTAGGAGCCCACTCTATAGATAACTTCCCACTGCTGAGATAACTACCTACTCCTGAGATAACTGACCCACTCGTGGGATAACTACCCACACCTGTGACATCAGCCACCAATCACAGCTTCCTGCTCTCAGGGCTGCCTGGGTTTGCCTTTCAGCAGTGGACTTTGAGGACGCCTTCAGACCACAGCATGGACTACTTAGGTGTTTTGTCTGGTGACCAAGGGAAACTCACACATGCAGTGACTGCAGGGGACTCAGAAGGTGCTCAGTTAACAACTGTTGAGTAAAGAGCCCCCAGGAGTGTTGCACCTCCTGCAGAGCAGTTTGAGAGCTGTCTTCCATTCTCCTGCTTCTGTAAATGTCAATGAATGCAGTCTCTGTAGGACAAATATCTGCAGGACAAATGAGTGTGTGTGGGAAGGGTTCGTCTTCTCTGCAGCCATGGCCCAAATATGTAGTGGCTGCCACTTAGCACCACAAGGAGAGCTGGTGCCTGGCATTTGAATACCCACAGCTACTTTCTCACCAGATTGGACATGTGACTTGAGCAGTGCAAGTTGCCTGCTTCCTAAGCTCCACACTTCCAGATTGGCTGTTCTGAGTCCCAAGTTCAGCTGACTTCAACTCACTCCGGTCTTTGTTGGCAGG